CCCCTGCCCCTGGTAACCTCTATGCTACTTTCTGTCTCTATGAATTTGCCCATTCTGGATAACTCTTATAAGTGGAGTTACACAATAGATGTCCTTTTGTGTCTGGGTCATTTCACTTAACATGTTTACAAGGTGCCTCTGTGTTAGAACATATATCAGAACTTCATTATTTTTATGGCTGAATACTATTCCACTGTATGTGGACACCACATTTTGTTGATGGACATTTGGGCTATTTCCACCCTTTGGCCATTGTGAATAGTGCTGCTAAAAACATGAGTGTACGTGTGCAAGTACCTGTTTTCAGTTCTCTTGAATATATACCTAGGAGGGAAATTGCTAGGTCATATGGCGATTCTATGCTTAACTTTTTGAAGAACCACCAAATCATTTTCCTAGAAGTTTACTTTTGGCAACTCATTCTGTTGTTTTGTGCATTTCCGTTTCCTTAGATCCTCTTAACAATTTGCTATAAACATTTTCAAAGATATCCAAGAGTTGGGAGTTGAGAGTACAACAAACCCACGTACCTACTATCAACTGATACATAGTCTATATTTACATTTCCACAGTAATCTTAAAATACTGTCTTGCCTTTGATTTGTTTGAATCAGGATCCAAATAAGGTTTATTGTACCTGATTGGTTTATATCCGAAGTGTCCATTAAGTTAGTTTAGTCTCTTTCCCTTTTATCTATGCTATTGACTTGCAAAAGAAACCAGGTCAGGGGTCTAATCGAACACCCCCTATTCAGAAACTGACTAATTTCTTCCTTGTGGTATTGTTTATGTATTCTTTTAAAGTAAATATTTTATCCTTGCAATAGATATAGTCAGTTCCTGTAGCTGCCACTCTCCAGCTTTAATACCAACCATAAGAACCAGCTGAGATACTTTTTTAAAGATGCAGCTTCCCAGCTCTTGTGCCCCTGACTCCCCACCCCCCACCCCAGCGAGTCTGATTGAGGTGGTCTAGGTTGCAACCCAGAAGTCTGCATCTTTAGCCAGCTCTTCAGGTGATTTGGAGGCAGGTGGCCCCTAACTACGAGGTGTAAGCACCACTATTGTGGTGGTGGTTTTATCAGATCACTTTTCTCCATGACTAGAGACACACCTCCATCTGCTGAAGGAATCCTAAAGGCATCAAAGAGGCCTAGGAGAGAGAATGAAAACAGATTTTGCCCTTTTCACCATTTGGCCAAGTTTGGCCATCTCAGCCAGGGACCATTCTGATGATGTGTTAAGCAATCAGGGTCCTTCCAACTCTGGGATGAAGACCTTCTTTGGAAGGAAGTTGCTATGCACAGCCCATACTTAAGGTGTAAGAAGTCAAGCTCCACCTGCCTGAGAGTACAGATCTTTGTGAATTATTTGGAATTGTGCACAGATTTGTCTCTTCTCCTTAATTTGTTGTTAATTAATTAATGTATTTATTTATTCAATCATTTATTTGTATTAGGACAAGACTCATGGATACTTATGTTATACCTTGGGTTATAATCCAATACTACTTTATTTTGTTGCTAAATTGCTCTAGTTTTGGCCATTGGGAGGTCTTTCAGTTGGCTGCTATATTGTATCCCGTTAATATACCCCCATTTTTTTGTTTTTGTTTTCTTTGTTGTTCTGGTGCTTTTTGTTCATTTTAGGGTTTTTTTGTTGTTGTTACTGCTGTTGTTGGTTTGTTTGGTGATTCTTTGTTTGGTTTGGCTTGGTTTTGATCACTTCTTTACTTCCTGGCGCTATAAGGTGCTCCAGGCTTATCTTGTATATTTCCTGCCCCAGTCCCAGAATCAGCCATTTCTCTAAGAAGCCCTGTTTCTTTTTAATGGACAATGGTACTAGAAATGAAGATCTGAGTGTTAGGTGTGCTCATTACTATTAGAATGTCATAGCTTTTAGACCCTCTCAGCTGAGAGTATGTGTATATACTAAAGCATGCATTTACACATTTATATACATGTTTCTATATGTAAACCTCTGTATCTTTATTGAACGAACCATAAGTCCATACTGATGTCTCCAACTCTGAACTATTACCACGGGTGTTATTCAAGCCTTCTCCCTTTGCTTATCTGTAAATCCCCTCACCCACAGTGAGAAACCTGACTCCCACCATGTGCTGCCCATTACTTAGTTGTTCAGTTCCTGTGTATACGTATAGCATATCACAATTATTAACCTGTACCCCCATGGGAAGCAACATTACTGGTTGGAGTACAGTCCTTTTGTACGGTTCCTTTTTCCTATAGTCTTACAGACTCCACTCATTTCCAAAGTTAGTTAGGTTAGCACCGTATTCTTCCACCTCCTTCAATACGGTTGTTTCATACATTTGGGATACATTTGAAGTCTTTTGCCATATTTTGCATTGCATCGTGACCTCTGGAATGATTTTTTTTTTTTTTTTTTTTTTTTTTTTTT